TAAGTCCACTAAAGCTACCGGTTTCAAATATAAGTGACCGGGCATTGTTTATAACACCTGTCTCCGCGGGAAAAAGCGTCCCACTTGTTAAGCGCGTCATGAAAGTGATCGTCGGTGATGGAAATAAATAGATAGAAATTATGAACTGTCGTCTGTTTGAATCTCAAGTTACGTTAGCACATATTGTACACAGCAAAATAAAATTTCAAAAGGAGGATAAAACGTGCTTGAAACACATGTTAGGTGAAAACTGTGGCTTATCTTGCGCTACACTTCCGGTAAAGTGCAATACTTCCGGTAAGATGGACGTTTTGGCAGATGCCCCTAACAATCCGACGATATCAAAGATTTCCATTGCTATATTTTAATCAATTCGACCAAACTGACATTTCCATGAAATTAATTAATTAATCTTGGTGGAATTGTTTGGCATATTACCGTAATCAAAATGTATTTTTTTAACAAGCAAAATCCCCAGATCTAAATAGTTGGACGTTAATAACTCTGTGAAATGAACTTGGATGTTACTTGGATGTTTGTGAAACTTACAACTGTAGCTTAACAAATGAAATAATCTGAAATAAGCTCATGAGCTGCCTGTGTCTAATGAAAAGTTTTTTTTTTTTTTTGACAATATATTCAAGAAAACCGAAAATTACATTAAAAAGTGGCAAATTCCAAGGCTGAAAACAGTTAAACATTAATAATTTTGACAAATCTGGTCCAGTGTTTGTCAAATTTGAACTAGAGGATCAGAGAGGTGATACCGCCTCCAGATATTGTACCACCAGCTGGAGTAAGCATATTTGATGAACATATTTTAGTGTAATCTTATACTTGTTAACAAAAATTGGAGCGTCAAGGGTTTTGTTTTAGAAAAGTGGGATTACTCATTGAATGTGATCACCTATAAGTCAAAATATTTTTATAATAAATTTTTTAAATCTCTGAACATAAATACCACAGCAGTAAAACAGCATGCGTTACATATTATAATTTCAAGATTTGAACAAGGGCCCACTTTAAAATGTAATGACCCACTTTTTTTAATGTTGGGGGCCCTTTGTCCCACATTGAAACATTCCTAGAATGAACACTGCTGATTTTAAAATATCAAACAGGTTCAAACATAAACAATCTTTGATATGGCTTAGGAGAACATTTCTTATCACGGAATATACGTCCTAACAGTCCCTTCTATGACTCTTCTGCATATAGGGCAGCGTTGTAACGCAGGGGCACAATGGGCACATGCAACCAAATGCGCACATGGAAGCAAGAGAATGGAAACTTCATCGTCAAGACATATTTTGCATATTTTCTCTTCTTTCAGTTTTCTATTCTCCTCCCTCAGAGTCTGATACTCCTCTAGCAGTTTCCTAGATGGTTGCTGCTCGTCTTGGGGTAAAATGAGTGATGAGTCTGCTGAATTTTCATTCAATTCTAATTCTCTCATCTCTTGTCTCTTTCTCTCTTCTCTTTCCTTTTCTTCTAGTTCATAGATGGCATCGAGTAATGAGGGGGCATCTGGGAACTCTGATCTTGGAGAGAGAGAGAGAGAAAGAAAACAAAAACATAAATATGAGGAATTAATTAGTGGAAGAAGTCAAAGAAAGGGTGCATAAAACAGCATTGGAGCATCAAAGTGTAGACTCTTGAATCTGGACACTATGGGCTCATTCCCAATGAAACTATCATTCCACATAAATCGAGCCAACTTTGAAGGGAACCTAGCCATTTTTATGTGATCAACTAAGAAAATTGATGAGATGGGAAAAATATCAATAGAGCAGTAAATGTCCAATTTCTTCCATTCTGAGATTCTGAACATAGTGAATGATTGAATCTGACAAACTGCAATGATGAGTTTATTTCCAATTTTGAAACTTTATTACACAATACACGATAACAGGTTTACCATCATTTTTTCAAAATCAACTAACAATGTTGTAAAGATGCAGGAAATGTCAAACAAACACTTTTACGTATCTTATTAATTAAATAATGAAACTGTTAACATGCCTAAGAATTGAATCTGAGGAAACGTGAAAAAACAGCATAACTTCTAAAATAATGGCCCGACCTTTTTGAACTCAACCTGCGTTTTAGCAGGATTGACCACTCCTGTGAGTTTAATGACAATTGGCCGATCTGTTTTTCTTATATTGTGTTTACAGTGTTGCATATATGCTGAAAAGTGAAAAGAAAAGCAAAACTACTAAAATAGTGGCCCGATCATGCCGATTTTCGAACTTGACTTGCGTTTTAGTAAGATCAATTACTCATGTGAGTTTCATGACAACAGGCCTATCGGTTTTCCTTGAAATGTGTTTACAGTGTTGCATATATGCTGAAAAGTGAAACAAGACAGCAAAGCTGTCAAATGTACAGACAAAAAAGAGGAAATAACTATGCACAAAATAGGCACTGTCAATTCTGATGCAAAAGTACATTATGTTGAACTGCAAATTCAACATTAAATTTTAATTATGCTCAACAGGTAATACCAATGTTAGTAAAATGTGTAACAAGCATAAGGCTTCAGGCCCATAGGAGTTCAAGTTCACANAGAAAAGCATAACTACTAAAATAGTGGCCTGATCATGCTGATTTTCGAACTTGACCTGCGTTTTAGTAAGATCAATTACTCCTGTGAGTTTCATGACAACAGGCCTATCGGTTTTCCTTGAAATGTGTTTACAGTGTTGCATATATGCTGAAAAGTGAAAAAACAGGAACTTCTACAATAATGGCCCGATCATGCTGATTTTCGAACTTGCCCTGCGTTTTATGAATATTCATCAGCTTTGTAAATATAAAGCCAAAAAATAAAACTGCCTTCCACTTATTGTGTTTACAAGGAAAGTGCACGGCGCCGGCGACGACGGCGACGACAGATGCAGGTGATGGCAATATGTACAGACACATCTGTGTCTGTACATAAAAAGGAGAAAGAATCTTACTTGTTGCATATTTTGAATCATTTGTCTGTCTCTATCCATACATACTTCTTTCAAGTTAGGTAAAGCAATGGACCATTCTGCATTTTCAGGTGGTAAGAATCGGCCCAATGCCTTTTGCGACACCTGGTTCAATTTGACAAAAATATGATTAGGCTGTCTTGTTTCATATAAAGTCCGTCATATTTGATCTGCAGATCAGTAAATCCTAAGGATCATCTTTTCTGAATGGGCCTTAAGAGCGCATTCAGAACAACGGACCAACAGATTGAAGTGGATTAAATTTGGCGACCCACTAAAAAGCCTGCCGCTTAATTTCCGATTAGACACCGAATAGATTTCCGCGGGGTTTACGCAACGAGCATTCAGGTAAGTTGGCCCTATTTGATCCGCTAATCTGTTAGTCTGCTGTTATGAATGCTCTCCCAGGCATAACAATGCCATGACAGATATCAAATTCTTCACCAATTTCTACATTTCATGCTGCAAAATTTTAACATTTCTCATTGTTTACACCTTTGTGATGGATCTCAAGCGAGTTAAGATCTTTAATTTTACTCAATGGATGTAGAAAATGGTTGTGAGTGAATAGTATAATTCAAGGAAAAAAAGCTACATTCACCAAATCCATCATCTACGTTCAGTTGTGTCCTGTTGGGCAGTCAGCAGTATTCTTGGTCACCAGAAATACTTCAACATAAATCAGATGTCATTAAGATTATATGTTCGGAAACTTCACAAAATCGCGAAGAAGGTAAATATTTATGGGGGTGACCAGGGAAAATCATAAATCAAAATGAACACCACAATGTGAAAGAGGCATAACTGTTGACCAATTGTGAGATTGCAGAACATGTTTTCATTGATGTTTCGAAAATAAGATTTCTCAAACCGCGTCAATGCAAGTTAGTCAGCCTATAATATTTATGACCGACATAAGGTCTGCTTTAATGCTACGTTTCTTTATGTAGCGATTCTTGTGTACTCTTAGATTCTCTCGAACTTATTCGCCATTGCATTTGTTGTTGATTGCGTTGAGATCTAAAGTGTTTATCACATGGATCGTGTCTCAACTGCAGCATTTTGACAAGTTTGATTAATGGAATAAATAAGTTGAATAGTCACAATTCTGAAAACAAAAGCAATTTACAAAGACGCGTGTAATCCATCCCGAACACATAAATCATAAAATGCGTCAATGTTAAAGCTCCTTGTGCTTTTATTCTTGAATCAAAGGAGAATGGAATGCAAATATTATTAAAATTGGAGGTGTACCCTGTATCTTAATATGTCATTCGCTCAAAACAAAAGTTGACATTCCTCCGCCTTTAACAATGTAAAGAAGAGGTACGAAAACACAAGAAGGTACATTTGATTTTATGTAATCTCTATTTAATTGATACACAAGAGTTTATTCCGAATAATACCCCTCCAATGGAGCCAAAATCGAAGCATTCCGGGCAAAGTCAAAAGGCATAAAATGGTCTTCAAATTTAAAGTACCGGAGGCAGGTTACGCATAGACAAGGTCAACATACTTTTTGAGTTGTGTAATTTTAATTATATGTCATTTATTCAACGTGTAATCCATATATACACCAGTCTGCGTCGTTAACCACTGCTTGAACGCACACGTCCAGTATAATTTTGTGTGAATTTAGTGGTCCGATATGACTTTTCGATTTTTTCTTTTAGTTTTTAAAGGAGCTTTGGAATTGGTTTCCTTTTTTTCTGAAATGTAGCCGTTACATGATGTCACAAAAACCTCGTCATTAATATTAAAATTTATATTAATACAATAGGGGGAATGCATATATATAATTGATGCAGTGTATATTTATTCGAACCAGTGAATCAGTTAACTTAGTATATAAGTAGTGGTCTGAATGGCAAGTAAGCCAAATGGCACAGATCTAGACTGTATATATGCTTGGAAGACCTTTCATTACATAAGTGGCTAATACATGGAGTTTCGAAATATAATGTTTTCTGTGGGTTTGGGGATATACATACCTGTAGAGCCGCTGTTTTCAATGTCAAATTGATATACAAGGTTTATACGTTGACAGTCGAAAGGTAATGATATCTCTGGGTTTTGGGATATAGTCCATGTAGTCAGTGTCTTCTTAATATACAGGTACCGGGTGATCTTTCATTAGGTCATTGGTACCAGTTCGGCTAATACGTAGACAGTCGGAAGATAATGACATCTCTGGGTTTCGGGATATAGCCATCGACTCCTAGAATTCAAGAAGAAAATAATTAAGTTTACTCCTTCACCATAAATAATAGTGTATGCATTACTTCATTGAATTTTTAATAGTAAACATTTACCTTTTTATCCAAGTATACCTGATCTTTTAATAAAATTTTTAAAATGAGAGTAGAGAGATAGACACAAACAATAGAAAAAAGTTCAAGTAGCTATACAGGTAGGTACTTAGCAGATATAATTTAGATGATTGCTAAAATATACAGGACATACAGGTAAAAATATATGCATTAATAAAGCAACTGAATAATAATTGATTGAGTATTCAAACAAATAAACTAGATAAATTAAAATCAAGTACAACAGATTGATAAAGAAATAAATTGATAACTGAACCAACAACTATAACATATAATGGATTAATCCAAAATTAGCACGGATGCATATATCAATAAAGAGATAAAATTTCGGTTACATACCCACTTGCAATGGGGTGTCCGGTGCCTTAAGAATTTGCCAATACGTTCTCTTATCTGGATCCTCCGATATTCCGTTAATCTCGGTGATGTAGTGACCAAGGGAGGTGTCCTTGGCCTTGAAACTGAAGGCAAGATCAACGAGATTAATGGACGAGCTTGGATATTGTTCGCAATTTTTTCGTCATGATTTTTTAAAATATAGATGTGACTCAATGCCATTACTCATTTACTTATATCAATTTAATTCACTTCAAAGAGCACACACAGAAGAGAGGACTAACAGATCCGCGGTTCAAATATTCGCTTCAATTCATTTATGAATTGGTGCATGTGTTGAACGACGTGCATAGGGTCCATATTTATTATGTCCTGCGCAAATTAAAGCAGTACATTTCCGTAAAACTATATGTTAAAAGACAAAATATTTAATCCAAATGAAAGAAATTGTTTTCGCCATTAAGCTGTCATAAACCGTGAAAAAATAGAACTTTATATTAAAAAATTGAAAATCAATCAGCCTACCTGAAATCTGATACTCTTTTCTGAAGAATTTCCATGGAATCGTACAAGGATGATCCTATTGGAACGGTCACATAGTAACTCTGGTTTTCACTGTGTCCTTCTATATTAGCAACTACCTGGATGGTGAATGTTAGTTGTGTGGGGGTTGTGGTCGTAGTGGGCGGAGCTTGAGTAGTTGTGACAGGGGGTGTGGTCTTCTGACAGATCTTGATATCTCCCAAATCAGCGTATGATTTGCCAGCAAGGGCGGGGAGAACTTGATTGGCAGCTGTCACTCCTCCAAACGATCCATCCGGTTCTGTTAGAATCAAAAGGCACTACTAAGCTATGTATCATGCTCCAATTATCATGTATCCTTACAGTCTAACAGGATGTCGCAAGAAGTAAATAAAATAAATTGTCACAACGCAGTTAAATGTTATACAAAAATATATTTTTACCCCACATGTATTCAGGAAAGTCTTTACTTACGTTGATGGGCAACGAGGGTAAGTTGAGCTTTCTTCTTGATCTGTTTTCGACTGCTCTTATTATCTGCGTACAGAGCCTACAATCACAAAGAACATATTAGACGCGCGTTCGCGCCGATTTAGATATTTAGAACACAACACTGGCTGATTCCATACATGAGCTTTGACAGCAGAAGCGCTTAGAATTACCATATCTGTGATATCCCATTTAATTTATTAACTGCAATCGGATTGTTTTGTCTTTCACTGGTGTTCAAACCTGGTTCAATATTAACATGGAATCAATGTAAAAAATGTGGGAACCTCGTCATATTTTACACTAAATAGTCTTAGCTGTATATACCTGAACGGCCAGTCCAGTAGTGTATTGGTTGCCAAATGAACCATCCGGTTTGATATTAGTCAGTATGTACTGGATCCCAGTGTTGATGGCAGGTATGACGTCAGCGGCACCGGTCCGGTTTCTCACACAAGACAATGCAATGACTGATATTGCAGCTTCATCTGGAAACGGAGACAGGAAACGGAAATTAAATGTTTTCAAAGAAGAATAAAAAAAAGTAAATAAAACGAAAGTGAAAGTGTATGAGAAAAGTTCAAGACGGTGGCTGGATTTAAACATGTAAATTAATTGATTAAATAGCCAGACAACTGTACGACCAACGGAGCAAAGGATATATAAAAAAAATTTAAAAAAAATAAAAAAAAAGAGGCAAGCACAAGAAATGTTAAAAAGAAAAACATGATAAAAAAAATGCCATTACCAACTCCGAAAGTATAATTTCCAGCACCATCTACAAGACGTTCGTAGTACGTCTCGTTAATAGCACCCGAGTTGCACAGAGCTAGCACAGCCCAGCTGTAGGCAAAGTTCTGGTTAAAGTAATACTTAGGAAAGTTGTTCATCTGGTTCATGAGAAGTTCTATAAGGTTATGGTCATAGAAATTTGCCGGGTCTTGACAGGTAGACACAAGGCCGTTGATGAACTGGCCAAGTTTCCCACCATACCAGGCGGCAGTGTCCAAACCTGGGTAGCTGCAACAAAAAGTTTTATTGATTAACGTATTTATTTATTTACTTATTTATTTATCTGTACTTGTAAACCCTGTTTAAAAAACAAACCAGGTAGAATTATATAATACAATTTATATTTTAATAAAATAGTTAAATATTAAATATTAGTTAAAACTACCCAGTATATACTGCAGGAAATGTTGCACTTTATTGATCAATTTATTTCTAGACAAGTGAATAGACAATTAAAACCAAATAGAATCACAGACCATAAATAAACCACCCAGCATTTAAAAATTATTAAAAGTTGGTTGTCAGATATCAACGTACTTGCTAATAGCTGCCAGAAGAACCAAGTTCATTTCCTTGACGCTGGCGACGGTGCTTGGCCTTTTCGAATTATACCAGCCATCTCCGTCAGCTAACTGAAGTGCCATGATGGCCTCCCCCTCACTTCGCATGCCCCAACCCCAATCTTCATTTCGGTCCTTAAGCAGCCATCTTATTCCTTTCTCTCTCGCCTTGTCAATGTCTGAGTTGGTAAATATTATCGATGTATTATATCAACTTTATATTAGTTTAAATGACGAAAATTTAGTAAATGTGTGCGTGTGCATGTGTGTTTGTGTAAGGATTTTTAGATACATGTAGCATTAGGCGCATGGCAAAGTCAATGGTAAAAATTTTCTTAAGTGTCACTTATTGTGCGTAGTCATTCTGACTAAGAAAATAGGTATTTTAACGTTTGGTTGCAAACGAGTTTTCTCAAGTCATATCACTCAAACTAATGTTTAGCACTACTCTTATTGATGATAATTCTATTCAGTTAATTCATATATGGAGAATAAATATGAGATATCTGAAAGTGAAATAATAAGGTTGGGCCTCGGTGTCTATAGCAGTGTTGTTGTTGTTGTAAGCATTAAAATTGGGCATTCCCTGATTTGAAAGTGCAATCAGGATGTCATCAGAAATGTTAATTTTTACTGATACATACAAACTTCCGTCAATTATGGGATAAAGAGAAATTGAGTTATAGGTAGTCGTCGCGTAACTACACGCAAGAACGTAAAAATATGCAAGAAAGCAAATGTTTAATCTTTACACTAAATGTGCATTCTTTTCCATATTATCAACGAAGACACAAGCCTGATTCACATGTACAACACCTTTTAGTCATGCATCCCAGATATAACATCCAAATAATTTATCCGAAACATGGTGTGTATACAGATGTGTATAGTATGTAATAGGAACGTGATACTTTGTACAAAAAATGCGTGGCCTGGGAAGTCAAGGTCACAAATGTAAACAGGTGGTAAAAAGTCGTATACCCTCGGTACATATATCAGGGTTTCTTTTCGAACATAACAGAATTGATCCACAGGCAAAAAGGACATGCATTAAACGCGGCTTAATTGACCGGTTCGTTATACAGTATAGATGCAGAAAAGACTAAGCAGATGCAGAGAAGACTTTTTCTTTCCCACATATCCAGATTTTCATAAATTTAATTTATCTGAAGTGTAGTGTTTGATTAGTTCTCCGGCTCGCCGGAGTCATCGTGTTTTATTGGTAAATTAATGCCATACATTTACGATTTCGTGCTGTAATTTGATTTTGCTTTTAAAGGACGCAATGAAAATTTCAAGCGTTGAAAAGACTCGTCTAAGATATTTGAAAAAAAAAATGGTAGCAAAGGGGAGCAGTTGCTGTTGTAGCCTCTTGTATAACATGGCATATTCATAAAGTAAAAAGTAAACGTAAAGGTATATACATTATACATCATAATTTTAATACATCGGCTTTCATACAAATTTTCATTCAGAGGTTAATTTCAGATTGAAAATAAAAACCACTGCATACAAAATATTCGATTTATATAAATTAAATATCAATATTTCTGATTTAAAATTCACGGTTTGAACCAGAGCATCTTATTGATATATGATATGTGAAGCATATTCTACTTACCACTCGGACAAAATATGGTGAATCCCAAGGTGCATAAAAGTGCGTAAAAACCCCTCATAATGTTCCACTTTCTTTAGCTCCGGGTATTTGCCTGCAAATATCTACACTCAAAACACTGACACGCTTTGATCGGTCTGTAGCTTTCTTTTATACCTTTCAAAGAGGATATGCAAACGAGGTGTCACCTGATGTGTTAGTCATTTTTTAAGCTCCCTTTACACTGGACGGCGTCCTTTCTGCGTCCCTTGGTGCGGCCCCGTTTGAGAGTAAAAAAAGACACTTTAAGCGCCAACAACTGGCCGCTCATTGAGCATTCATTCTTCAATTGCAACCAAAGGGATGCTTGTGCCTCTTTTCTACGACCACAGTGATTCCAGATTCATTGTCGCACAAAGGACACAGAATGGACGCCGCCCAGTGTAAAGGGGCTTTCAAGGTGGTTTTAGAGAAGGAAGTGAATTCTTTACTTTGTCATTTACGTGTCCGTATCCAGAATTCACTCAAAAATAACGAAGGGGTTTCGATCTTAATGTTCGCAGAATTATAGGCGGTACCAGCACAATATTGCGCCAATTCTTTATTTTTTAGCATCAGCTATTAATTGATATCTTTGATGAAAAATCAATTATCTTGGGCTCGATTACCTTGATGACAGGCTACGTCGTTCTAACTGATATTATTTCGGTCAGTCTGAGCGTCATGGGAGCATGACGTGTTGATTCGTGTGGATGTGACTTGCATTATATCGAAACTAGCAGGCTTTGTCGTCGTTGTCCTTTTTTTCACTGTCTGTCCATCTCTCTATCCACCTATCTGTTTATCTGCCCATCCAATTACTTGAATTACCATCAAATTTCTCTACTTGCATCTATAGATTGTTACGTCCTATATTGAGTTCTTTAATAACAAAAAAAAAATAAAGCATAAACATAAATACGAATGAAAACAAACACCTCAAATTAAAATGATAA